CTTTTTTTTTCTCTATCCCACTCTCTGACACCAATTTGATACGTCTCCGTTTGTTAATTAACTTTCCGTAACTTCGTTCCGACGAAACTTTAGCGACACAAGTCCTTACTTAATAAAACTGGTTTATTCTTCTGAATATAACTTCACGATACACTTGATTTCAACATTCGCGCTAAAACAAACGCTATAACGAACGTTAACTTCAACAATACTTTCTCACTGCAGATCAGTTACTGACTACCTACACACATTGTCCCGTCCAGTTGTGAGCGTCTTATTTATATACCAGAAAAACATATATCTAGTAAATGCTAGGGCATTCACGAAGGAACAAGATACTTCTAGAAAATAGGTGGCGTGACAATAGTCACGTGACCTCGCTGACGCAACAGAACGTTAACTTCAACAATACCCTGTGACTGCACACACATTATTGTACCGTCACGTTGTCACCCTCTTATATATATACCAGACTACAGAAAGCAGGGGGCGTGACACTAGTCACGTGATCTCACTGACGCAACAATATTCACCCCATGCAAAGTTTCTACATTTTATTGCCGCCTGAGCTTGCAATCAAGAAACTTTCAAATGGAACTATATTTAGAATCTACACAATCTACTCCAAATTGAGAAAGCTAAAAAAACTGATATTATGTAAGTACGTTAGATTTTCAAAGAAAATTAAAATATTCTCAATTGCATAAGTATTCAATCCCTTTACTATGACAACTCTAAATCAGTTAAGGTGCAAAAGATTAGTTTGAAAGGTCATAAAAATTAGAACAATAATATATGTCTGTGTGTAATCAAAGTGGTTTAACTTCACTTCAGAGTAAATGCATTTGTTCAAGCCACAACTTACATAATGGTACTATAAGCCAACCACGAAGACCAAGGAGCTTTCTAAACAAGTCAGGGATAAAGTGGTTGAGAAGTACAGATGAGGAGAAAGCTATAAGAAAATTTTAAAGTCACTGATTATCTCTTTGAGTACGGTGAAGTCCATCATTAAGAAGTAGAATGTTCTTTATACCACCCAGATCAGGCTGCCCTTCCAAACTAAACAGCCAGGCAAGCAGGAAATTGGTTAGGGATGCCAATGTGAAGCCCACAGTGACTTTGAAATATTTGCAAAGTTCTATATCTGAGATGGGAGTCAATGTTCATACATCGACAATATCCTGGTCCCTACACAAAGCTGGTTTGTATGGGAGAGTGGCAAGAAAGAAACTGTTGCGTCAGCGAGGTCACGTGACTAGTATCACGCCACGTTTTCTAGAAATATCCTGTTCCTTCAAGAATGCCCTAGCATTTACTATATATGTGTTAGTCTTGTATATATAAGATGGTCACAACGTGACTGGACAATGTGTAGGAAAGGAGTAATTAAACTGCAGTCAGAGAGTGTGTAATTGAACTGAGTATTATTGAAGTTGAGCACGTGAGAAGTTCGTTGTTATTGCGTTTGTTTTTTGCGCGACTATTGAAATTAAGTGTATCGCAAAGTTATATTCAGAAAGAATAAACCAGTTCTATTTAAGAAAGGACTTGTGTCGCTAAAGTTTCGTCGGAACGAATTTACGAAAAATTAACAAAAATTAACAAACGAACAGAGACGTAACAAAACCATTACTGAAAAAGAATGATCTTAAATCTCGTATGGAGTTTGCGACAAAGCATGTAAATGATACTACAGACATATGTCAGAAAGTTTTGTGATCAGAAGAAACAAAAATTGAGCTTTTTTGTCCAAATTCAAAGTGTTACGTCTAGTGCAACCCAACACAGTACATCACCCAGTCAACACCATCCCAACTGTCAGCATGGTGGTGGTAGCATCATGTTATGTGAATGCTTCTCATCAGCAAGGACTGGTAAACTTGTCAAAGTGAGGGGGAAGATGGATGGTGCAAAGTACAGACATGTCCTAGAGGAACACCTGCTTGTATCAGCCAATAATCTAAAACTGGGTCGAAAACTCACAGTTTATCAAGGAAATGAGCCGAAACACTAGGCCAAAGCCATATGGAATGGTTTCAAAAGAAAAAATGAATGTCCTGGAGCAGCCCAGGCAAAATCCTGACTTGAATCCAATGGAAAATTTATGGCAAGACTTGAAGATTGCAGTCGGGGGCGAATTGGGAGCCTGAAACGGTCTGGGCAAATACTCAAATATCAGGATGATATAATATATATATATAGAGAGAGATGTACAGTAGGTTAGTCAGTAACAAGTCAGAGACAAGATAACCAGGTTATCACCCCACTGATCCAGGCGTCACTGGCCCACTGACAAATTCTAGAGGAAAAGCTGTTTGAGTCAGCCAAGGCTCACATCAGTAACTGCTGCCAAAGGTTTTGCTTCCACCAAATACTGACTTTGGGTCTGAATACGTATGCAAGCAGCATATTTCATTTTATATATTTTCTTTGCAGGTTTTGCTGACATTCAACCTCCTTCCCACATAACATTGTTAATTTCGATCATTAGAGTTTTGAATATATATATAAAAAATTAATTAAAAATTGTT